TTTTGGGTTAGATTTTAAGGTTAAGTGTATTGCCTAAGGACACAACAACAGCAATAAACTGAGCAAGGCTCGAGCCTGCAACCTTCGATTACGGGGCAAGCACCTAACTACTGTGCCACCATTGCCCACATAAATTTCACTATAGTCGGTCTTTATCTGACAATGCTGTTGCATCTTGTAAATCAACTGTTCCATCTTTACTGTCCTCAGCATCTCAGAGGAACGTAGAAGAGTGAATTTTTTTCATTTCTAGCCCTTCACAAATTGATGATCTAGTTCATAATGTTACTTCTTCTTTACGTGTGGCATTAGATGATGTTGCCCCTTTAAAAAAGAAGGTAATTAAGCACAGGAAGTTGGCTCCCTGGTTTAATTCTCATTTACGAACTATAAAACAAAACTCTAGAAAATTGTTGAGAATGTGGCACTCTACACACCAGGAGGAGTCCTACTTATCCTGAAATATAGTGTTGTGCTTTATAAAAATAAGCTTCGACAAGCTAGAACTGCTTATTTTTCATCGCTAATTGAGGAGAATAGGAATAATCCAAAATTTCTCTTCAGTACAGTTGCCAAACTTACACAGAATCATAGCTCTGAACCATATATTCCCTTAGGCCTCAGCAGCAACGACTTTATGGGATTTTTCACAAGTAAAATTAATTCTATTACAAACAAAATCATTAGCATCCTCCCTAATGCGATTTATTCTTCCTCAGTAAGTGAGGCAGCATCAGAGGTAACTGTAGAACCTCATCTGTGTTTGAACTGTTTTGATCCAGTTGAGCTTTCAGAGTTATTAAAAATATTAGTTTAATCTAAACATTCAACTTGCATTTTAGATCCAGTCCCAACCAAATTATTTAAAGATGCATTTCCTTTGGTTACTGCCTCAATTCTAGATATAATCAATCTATCCTTAGTAAATGGATATGTACCACAGGATTTTATGGTTGCTGTAATCAAACCTTTACTTAAGAAACCTTTTCTGGATCCAGGTGATCCAATGAATTATAGACCAATATCTAACCTTCCATTTTTATCCAAAGTCAATTCTATTTAATTCAAGTTTATTTATATAGCACCAAATCATGACAAGAGTTGTCTCAAGGCACTTCACATAATAAACATTCCAATACAGGTCAGTTCATTAAGCCAATCAGAAATAAGTTTCCTATATAAGGAACCCAGCAAATTGCATTCAGTCACTGAGTAGAGTCAGAGTCTTAACAGCAATCCTCATTCTAAGCAAGCATTTAGCGACAGTCGAGAGGAAAACTCCCTTTTAACAGGAAGAAACCTCCAGAGGATCCTGGTTCAGTATGAGCAGCCATCCACCATGACTCACTGGGGATTGAGAAGACAGAGCACACACACACACACACACACACACACACACACACACACACACACACACACGCACGCACGCACGCACGCACGCACGCACACACACCACACACACACACACAAAGTAGTAATTCTATTCTATGGCCATATGTTCTATTCTATGGCTATATGGTGATTTCTTAGCAAATATTCTATTTAGTAAGAGATAAACTTTATTATCCTTATCTTAGTGAATCTATAATTAATTCAACAGGTAAACTAGTAGTAGCACATTCAAAGTCAAAGACAGTAAAAAATAATCAGGAGAGAGAGAATACATAAGTGGTTAGCAGCAGTGTTCAAGCCGATAGCATGAGGCCACCACAGCTCAGCAGAACACCATTGTAGCTTCTTCTTGGGAGAAAAACAATTAGAAAAAAATTTAATTAATTGATGAAAAAGCAGGAAATAATGCAATTAAGAGAGAAATCGTAGAAGAAAGTTGAGTTGGACCCTACAGTTTTGTGGGCAGAAGTCACTGAGGTGGTCGAGAAACACCTTGGTGGCAAGGCCCCAAGGGTGGATGAGATTCTCCCAAAGTTCCTTAAGGCTCTGAATGTTGTGGGGGTATGTTGGTTGCTGCGGTTCTGCAATATTGCGTGGATATCAGGGGCAGTCCCACTGGACTGGCAGACTGGGGTGGTGATCCCCTTTTTAAAAAGAAGGACCACAAGGTGTGTTCCAACTACAGGAGTCTCACACTCCTGAGCCTCCCTGATAAGGTCTATTCAGCGGTTCTGGAGAGGAGGGTCAGCCAGATTGTCAAACCTTGGATTCAGGAGGAGCAGTGTGGTTTTCGTCCAGGCTGTGGAACCGTGGACCAACGCTATACCCTTAGGGGGGTCCTGGAGGGTGCATAGGAATTTGCCTAACCAATCTACATGTGGTTTGTGGATTTAGAGAAGGTGTTCGATCACATCCCCTGGGGTCACTGTGGGGGGTACTCCGGGAGTATGGGGTACCAGGCACTTTGAAACAGGCTGTTAGGTCCCTGTATGACCGGTGTCATAGCTTGGTCCACATTGCCGGCAGTAAGTCAAGCTTGTTTTAGGTGAGAGTTGGACTCTGATGTCCAGCTTTTGC